CTCATCTGTGAGTTTTGCTACGCATGTACTTGACCAAATCAAAACACCACTTCTGACAAATTCAGTGAGTAAAAACACTCTATGGTTTTGCCAACTGAAACAAAATGGCCCGAGTTGGAATACATGGTTTTGTGGATGTCATTGAATGTGACTACTGGCAACCATGTTTGCTTTTGATTTTTGACATACGATAGTGGATTTGAGGCGAGCTGTCAATGACTGAGAATGACACTTTCATTCTGTTTTGTGGTCACGCTCGTTTCTTCGAAGAAATTTTTATTTTTCTTTTCTGGAAGTATTTTTATGGGTAAAATGTGTTTTTCAGTTTTTGTCCAGAGAACTGATCTTAGTACAACGGTTTAAACTCAAACTATTTTTGAAATCGTAAAATCAAGTATCAAACCTACTCCTATAGGCTCTTTTCTATGTGGTGTGTAAGTGTGCGGTTNAACCACAGACAGACAGATTCAATGAATCCTTGCGCCCGCGGTTGCACACAAACAATGCGCGCCTGTGGCTTATACGATCAACAGGGTGTGTTGTAGTTGTGAACGACTGGGCGTCCGTCGGTTCTTCTTGATTGTAATTGTAATTATTAATGCACGTTGTAGTCCCTGACATTTTCAAGAGGAAATTGAAAGAAAACAGCTACATTTCTTTGATGAGACACTAATCATAAATGATGTTTTGGAGGAGTTTTCCAAGTTCTGGTTTTGTAGTGTTCGCGCTCCTCAAGCTCTTTACCGGTGTTTATCAGTGTTTCATCATTAGTGATCAAACCTGTTAACGATCCCCTGCACTATGAAAACCAGGGCAAAATCCTTGAGCGTGTTTACTGTGAGTTCCGTTTTTATCTGTTTTGTCGCCTGTTCAATTTCCCTAAAGTACCTCACTTTCGATAGCGATGAACGACGTAAAAAACTACTGTTTGTCACCATTAAAGATTACCAATGACGTGAGCTTCTGTTTGTTGACACCTCAAGATGTGGTGATAGGCAGTTTTGGTAGGCAGCTTTGCTATCGTCCGGTTCAGTACCACGCTTATCCTAGTGGGGCCTTATTTGGCTCACCACTCCAAGTCCCGGGACTTAGGTTGCCAGTTAAAATCGCTAAACAGCATGTTTTCGTGACTATGGGATCCTCCTCGTCTATTGTTCATCACAGAGGTATGTAATAAAAAAATCTAGATCTAGGCCATTTTAAATGGGCAGAAACTGTGGTCGTGTTCATATTCCCTACAAGGATCAATTGTTTATTCTAACCAATCATCCGGTTTCTCCTGCCGAGCAAGGCTTCCGGAATCCCACACATCCATCATCCGTCTAGCTTACACAGGTACAACGGTCGATTAAGTTGACCCTTTTTGACTGTTAAGAGCATTATGAAAACCTCAATATTCGCCGCAGAGACGAGACAATGATACGTGCTCAGTGCAGCTTGTCAGAGTTGCTGGCGAGTGGTAAACTCAGAAACCAAATAATTTGGAGTGATTGTAGCTCGGGATNGTTGCTGCTGGTGTGTGTTCTCCGAGCTGGAGGTGTTGTTCGTCGACCTTTCGGAGCCAAGGTAAGCAGCATCATCAGCGCAACTTCGGAGAAATCAAATTTTTCCCTCGTTAAAAATTAATACTTAAATTTTCTCATATTCACCCAGAATTAGGTTCGTCGAAAACACGATAGTGCCCAGTCAAGTTAATTTCTCTATCTCATGACAACGAATAAGCTGATCTGACATATATTTTCTACGATCTAGGTGTTATGTCAGGATTTCGTATCGATACAGGCATCATGGTATAAACTAATTTGTAGTACTACTTTGAGGCAGCATATTTCATCAAAGCGAGCTTTTATCTTCGGACGAAAAAATGGATCGCAAATATAATTATTACTAAACGGACATCTCAGCTCACTGTCAACATTGATCAAACTGAATTTACGTATTTCCACACCAAACTGTTATATGTGGTGTTTGCTGATTAGGCACTCTGTTTCATCCCGCTGTAGCGCACTGTTCGTTCGGAACGTCCCGAATTGTTTGATCAACAACTGGATCGTTTTATCCACGCGTCAACCTTGCTTCGGTCTCGGTCACCCGGTGACTTTATTTGTCATTTACGTTTTAATCAGCTGAGCCACTTGGAAGCATTTTGGAGGGATTATCAATCTGGCACATTAAAACGGGTAAGCCGATTCTCTCTCTGTTTGTGTTGACTGCAATAATGTTAGTCGGTTTTGCACTCCTTGTGATAACCCTGTTGGCTGTTAGAAAAGTTCTTTGACTGCACGTTTTATGGATTCCGTCATTGTTTTTCGCGCCGATTGTATCATCTAATACATCTGACAAATCCTTCTCTGAATGTGAATCGCTCTTGTCGTCCGACCAACTACTACGGGGATAATGTTGCATTTCATGCGAACTTCACTTATCTAGCCGTAGATTGATAGTTCTATAATACGTTTGTGAAGCCTGCACATGGCAATAGTCAGCGGGTTTTGCTTGTTATGCTGTCAATTTGGGAAACTCTGGTCTTTCTTTTGAGGACCCGTGACACCTAGCATGTCTGTTTAGTTTGAAGTCCAAATTTCCATCGCGGACTGTAGTTACAGCTTTCGTTCTGGCGCACNCGCACAATTCATCCGGTGAATAAGACGACACTTGGTAAACCTCAGTATGGTTTTATTTGGTGCTATTTTTACTTTTTCAGGTGTTAAAAGATATGCTCACTGCACCAGCTTCTCGAAGTTTCGTTGGACAACTATCCAGTTCTGCTGCGTCTTCTAGTGGGGGCAGGCATGTCAATCCGGCTCCAGCACCGAACGTAGAACCCGGTGGAAATCAGGCCAATGCGGCTGCAGCAGCAGCGGCTGCTGCCGCGGCCGCGGCTGCCGCTGCAGCTGCGGCGGCTGCACTGGCTTGGATGCNCGTGCGACCGTTTGTGCCGCCTAATGATTTCGCAGCAGCAGCTGCTGCGGCTGCCGGTGCGGCAAACCCGCAACAAGTGAACGCTGCCGCTCCGTGGATGTTTCCAGAAGCCATGGCAGCAGTTGCAGCGGCTGCGGCTTGGCCGGATCCACGGAACGTCAGACCTGTGGGCGCGGGCGCGGACGCGGAGTTGTTGCAAGCAGCTGCAGCAGCCGCTGCCAGTGCTGCGGCTGCGGCCAACTCAAGTACAAATGGGAATGAAATTGGATCCAGTCCCACGGATGTCGAACGATCTCCCATTGAGCTACTCGGTGCGGTGATAGCAAAAATCCGTCAACGAGAATTCGGTCTCGCAACCGGTACAGGAGAACGACAGTTTCCTCCAGATTTTGACCTGAACGTTTTCGTTTCGCGCCGTGAATACGAGAATGGTCGATGCCTCTTGATGCGTAATTTACGCAGTATTCCCAGTATCTATCGTCTGGTAATGGCATCATCGTTTCTGCCGTCTAATGCACTCATAACTGAAAGTTTGGATCACGATGGGTCTGTTATCTCAGAAGCACCTCTGGGTTCTGGTGGATCCCTTTCAAGACCGGACGCAAATGGTGCGTCCGTTCCTCATGTGATAAATGTATAAGGTTGTTAACTTCTGTTTTTCTCGATGTAAAATACTTTTGCGCTTCTTTATCACAGTTTTTATTATTTGCAAGTGCTATTTTTAGTTTTGATTTGACAAGACAAGTCGACTTGGGTGGTGATACTGATTGTACACTCAGTGTTGCTTGATGACAGCCCAGCCATCTGTTTTAAACGGCAATTATCGATCAGGTGCACCTCCATGACGGGCGGTTCGTAGGTCAAATAACTTCTTTCCGGTCCAACTCAGTTGAGGAGTCATTACATTCTACTAAATCTGATGTACGATTTGAGTGTTGTTAAGTATTCCGGTTATCCAAAAATGTATGTCACCGTTATGTGGTGAAGGGTAAAATGGTTAAACACTACATTCATGAGGAACTACTGTTCACTCATGGTAACCAGCAATTTAGACCATGGGACTGGGGAACTACATCAGGCCCCAAATAGATGGACGTAGTATTGAACAGGACGTCAGCGAAAATGTCTACCACCAAAGTTGAATAGAGGTGGCAGGGGCTTAATCTCTTCAGTGCATCTGTGTGGGAAATTGTTCTCACAAACTGTACATTGGTGGAATGTATTCATATACAAATAGAGAACGCCGGTCGGGCAAATGATCATTCATCGGTCAAGTTCTAGATGAAGTCCCTCACATGTTCAATCGTGTACAGTTAATTCGCGACAGTACAGCAAGACAGTGCACAATTCAGGTTACCTACATTTTCAGAGTAGTAAGCTTGGATTAGCTCATTCGTTTGGTAAGAGGCACCAGGCACTGTTTATGTTCTTGGGTGTGGGTTTCACTCCCTTGGGAGATCGTTAATTCCCCACAATTTCATGCATTTATATGCGATTAAAATGTTTGTGATAACTCACAAAGAGCTTAATACTCTAAAATTGATTGAGCCATTTCGCACAAGGCGATGGTCGTCGACCGTGTAGCCCAGGGGTGTGGGTTTGAAGTTCCAACCCGAACGTTCGCGGTTCGAGTCCTGACAGGGACACAAAAGGTACATACTGCTGACGAGTCCCAAACAGGACGAAACAGCTGTCCAGTGCTCTTTGATTGGTTTTCACAAACATTTGTATCACATGTACCTACATTTTCTAGCTAGACATTGACCAGGAGCACGTCCGTCATCCCTGCGTGGTTGACTGGACATGATCCATAGCTCTGGTCTTTCCTAATATTGCCCCTGGGTTCACCTGCAAATTGCATTCCGGGGTCCCTCTCGCTCTGTCGTCTTGTTCGTTTCAGGTTATCTTGAGCATTATCCCGACGATATTTCGGTACGCTATCCCTGCGTGTCTCGTTGCTGAGATTCCGTTTCATATCTCGACTCATTGCTTTCCCTCATCGTATATCATCTTCCACTGTTGGGAATCAACAACGTGGATTGTTCATTGTCCCGCCATATGGCTAGGAATTAGTTAACCATGCTTGACTTGATTTTGAACGCTATCATTGCATGTTTTTCGGCCCCACCGGTGTTCTATGTGTGCTACAATATTTTACGTAATATTTGAACTCATATTTGCCTCAAACCTCAATCACTGCGGACTAAGAAACATTAGAGCTAACTATTTTTCAAGCATGTCATCGCTGTTGAATTCATCAGTTGTACAAAAAAACATGCTTGATGAGCAGAACGTGAACACCCGCTTGGTATCACTTTCGGGTGTTGTTAGAACAAATTTTCAGTCGAACAAGTGAATCGCATTTATTTCAGTTTTATATAAGTATAATGTTGACCCGACGGGTTCTTTGTTGTTGTTTGTTGTGGTTACTGTTGTTGATACGGTTATGGTTGTCCAGTTGCTGTAGTCTCCCCTACGGGGCCTTCGAAATAGGGTGGTCCTTGATTGGTTATTTGTCTCGTGGTGGAATCACGGTGGCAAATGAGAAGTGATTGCAACCCATCTCAGCTCGGTGTCCATCCAGGTAGGTGTGGCAGCTGACTTCATAATCGCGTCCAAAACTCAAACTAACCGGGTAAGAAACAGATAAATAATCGATATGTGGGTGGTATGAAAATGCTCATGTAAATAAAGTGTACAACCTGGAAAATCCTGATTTCAAATGCTCCTCAAAATGGTCTGAAGTAGCCGCAAATGTTATCTTAACCTCAGAGATATTCAATCACCTTGATTGTTTATGGATTATGGTGCCTCCAGTGTTGCAGACCTTTCTGATAAATCCATGACGTGATTAAATTCATACTAGCCCAAATCTATTCGCGGACTTGACATAGCTCTCGAACAGGTTAGACCAAGATACCAATTTGGTCCCTCATTGTAACTTACGACATTTTTTCTGAAGGACCGAATATATACATATATATTTACCGGATACTGCATCAAAATAATCATGGGTTTGAAAGATAAATACAAGAACAGAACAAAATTGACAGAAGAATGATTAGTTTGGAGTAGGGTTAGTATTTTACTTGTTTACTGCCTGTTCATGACTTGTTATTAGATTTGGCTACATAAAATGCGAAAACATGAACAGAGGAGGCAAGATACAGAGTCATCATGGAATGTCCAAGTGGTCATCGTGTCGATGTCCCGGATGTCCTGAGATCGATCTTATCATCATCGTCGTACAGCGAGATACAGTGAAGTGAACCTCGCTGATCGCTGCCAAGCTCACAATGAACACAGATCAAGTGATAAAGCACAAGATGAAAAGGGATTAGGCTTAACCGGAGAGAGGCAAAGAAAAAGAACTTCTATGGTCAACACACAGAGTACATAATCTAAGTGTGCATACATACCTTTTCAAACATTCTGACCTGATAAGAAATGACAACAACAACGCCACTGCTGTCGTTTGGTCGCCATATCCTTCAGTGTCTCCAACCAGCCAGCTGCAGAATCTTTCGGACCCCAACCTGGAAGATGCGAGACACCGATTTTACCTAGTCGCTCTGTGTATTTCTTCATACCTCGCCTCCACGTCATCTGTTGACCTCCACGACGAGACTGCACCTTGACGTGGTGTGATGGCTTGTGCACCTCTGACCCAACGAGCCACACAGGATGGTTTTTGTCAAACCGAAGCTCTAAACATGCCTGGAAGGTCGAAGGGTAGAGGTCGGACGAAGTCCAGTTTCCTGGTCCTCCAGGTTGGGGGTTGGACTAGAATTTGTGTTTCAGTCAGTAAAAGATGTTGGAGGAGTAATTGATCCAAGTTAATGGACCTTCACTTCGCTTCATCCGCTGCCTTGCGGCTAGGTTATTGTCAGAACTAAAGGCTTTGGTTGGGAACTCTAATCGTTCTCCTGCTTAGTGATTGGACACCCTAGCAGTACCCGTCCATCAAACCCCAATGCATATGCATTGCGAGTTTGGCAGCGATCAGTGAAGTTCGCTTCTCTGTATTTCGTTGTACGATGATGATGTTGACCTCCACGCGGTTTCTTCCAACCTGGGGCCCCGATTGCCCATAAGGCGCGGTGCGGTAGACGATGGCTGGACATGCACAATACGTGTCCTAATCAGCGAAGCCGACTAATCTGAATCCGATGGGGCAACGAATTCTCCATCGAATCATTATTAAATACGCGTCGTCTCACCTCAGAGTTGCTTACATGCTTGCTCCATCCAACTTGCGCCAAACTACATAAACATCTGCAATCGAATACCTCTAGACGAAGAATACCTTCCACGCGCAAATATAGGGTCTCGCAACCATAGAGCAGAACTGACCGCACAATGACGCAGTATACACAACCTTTCAGTTTCAAAAAAACATCGCGTCTGCACCAAAGGTGTTTCAGTCTTGCGTAAGCTGCTCGAACCTTGAATATGCGGGCGGTTACTTCATTGACCATGCTACCGTCATTTGAAACGCAGCTACCTAAGTAGGTGAAACATTCCATTACAGCTAATTCTTGACCATCAAACATCAGCGCTGGGGTAGACGACACCCAGTCTTGTAGTATCACTTTGCACTTTGAAGGTGCAAAGCGCATGCTGAAAGGAGATACAGAACTTGCTAATCTGTCAACAGCTCATCCTCCATAGATTCGAGCAGGCATAGGATTTCATCAGTGTACTCTAAATCGCACAGCTTTTCTCCAGCTGCCCATTCAATGCCTATGTTCTGGAGATCAGTAAGTGCGTTCTCCAGAACTTCGTCTAAGGCGAAATNGGAATGACGAAATAGGGCACCCCCGGTGCTGCGTATCAGGTGAAACTCTTTGACCATTCCGTGATGCAGAAGCTACCTCCATTTCACTAGCTATTTGGACCCACCAATTTTTGCTATCTTTCTTAAGACTTCCTGATTTGACGTTTCAGGTGACACCGTTCTTCATGTTGATCCTGGTAGATTGGGATCTTTCGCTTTTGATCCATCAGGATTACTGACTCCTGAGAGATTTAATGCCTTCAGCGAACTTCGGGCTCAGTCCCACAAACAAAGTTTGCTGTGAGTGCATTGCAAATCTAATATGATTCCACTGTTGGTCTACTCCACTATGTCGCGGTTCCCCTAGCTCCTGTCCCAGCTTCTCCTCATAAGGTGCACAGACAGATGGATCGCGCGGACGATGATGATGAGGTGATTTCTACCGATGACCGATGAGTCAAAGAGTGAAGCGTGAGAGAACTAGTGCATGGTCCGACTCAACGCAAGTAGTCCAATAGGATCTGCAATTTTGCACTGAACGACGCCAACGGTAGCTTACAGCTATGTATTCAAGTTGGGTCGATTTTCCCTTTGAACTAGAACACCATGTAACCTTTCGACGAGAGCTGTATCGAAAATTGGTGCTAGATAAGAACAGCCGGTGATCCGCGCAGAAGTCGATCACCGTTGTCTGTTCGCTGGGCGGGGAGGGCGAAATGCCCTCCTAGACATGCGTCAGATGCGTTCAGTTTTCCCATATGCGCGGTAAAATCATCTGCCACATTATAATATCAGGGCTGCGGCTCAACCGAATCAGTTCAGCGAGTTTGTCGTAAAATTCGTCCTTTTGTGAAGCGGGACTG